TGTCATCACGGACGGACGGACGGACGGACGGACGGAAGGAAGGAAGGAAGGAAGGAAGGAAGGAAGGAAGGAAGGAAGGAAGACAAAAAGAAGAAAAAATAAGCCCGTTGCTTAAGTCATCACTGGAACCGCCATTTTGCCCAATCCCGCACGATTCCCCCCTTCGAATTCCTAATTCATCCCCTTATTTTCAAGGCATCAACTAAGATCAATCTTCATTTTTCAATCAAATGCAGAAACTCCATTCTTCCTTTCCCGGATATTCCTTTTTCCTTCTTCGTGGCTCTTCTTGGCTCTCTGCCTCTGCTTTCCCCTGCGCTGCTGTTCCCAGATGTTCCCCCCCACCCTTAATGTTCACTGCGGTTTAGCAAACAAGACAGCTGTTTTCCCATTCCAAATTCCCATCTGCCGTTCCCAAGACAGCTCGTCTTTCAGCCGAGGACAGGAAATCATCGTTTGAGGCCCTAACATGTTTTTTTTTAATCCGTCCATAGTTCGGTTGTTAACAGCCTCAGATTCTTCTTGGGTCTGTAGAGTCAGTCCTCGGCTTATGACCACAAGTGAGCCTGGAATTCTCGTTGCTAAGCGAGACAGGCATGAAGTGAGTTTGACGATTTTTCGTTTGTGAAGGGAATCGCTGAAGTTGTTAAGTGAGTCACACTGTTGTTAAGGGAATCTGGCTTCCCCATTCAGTTAGCTTGGACTAGAAGATCTCCCGAGGTCCCTTCCAGTTCTTTTATTCTGTGCTTCCTTCCTCCCTTCCTCCCATCCTTCTTTCTTCTGTTATTCTCTAAAGACCCTTCCAACTCTTTTATTCTGTATTTATTTCCTTCCTTCCTTCTTTCCTTTCTTTTCACCTCTGTCCCACTCCTTCCTTCCCTTCCTCCTTTGCTTTCGCCTATGTCCCTCTCCTTCCTTTCCTTTCATCTCTCCTTCCTTCCCTCCCTCCTTTCTTCCTTCCTTTTTTCCTTCCCTTCCTTTCACCTCTGTCCCTCTCCTTCCTTCTTTCCTTCCTTCCTTCTTCCTTCTTCCTTTCCTTTCTTTCCTTTCACCTCTGTCCCTCTCCTTCCTTCCTTTCCTTTCACCTCCTTCCTTCCCTTCCTTTCACCTCTGTCCCTCTCCTTCCTTCCTTCCCTCCTTCCTTCCCTTCCTTTCACCTCTGTCCCTCTCCTTCCTTCCTTTCCTTTCACCTCCTTCCTTCCCTTCCCTCCTTCCTTCCCTTCCTTTCACCTCTGTCCCTCTCCTTCCTTCCTTTCCTTTCACCTCCTTCCTTCCTTCCCTCCTTCCTTCCCTTCCTTTCACCTCTGTCCCTCTCCTTCCTTCCTTTCCTTTCACCTCCTTCCTTCCTTCCCTCCTTCCTTC